CAAATCCACAAAACCAATGTGCAGCTGAGATGCACCCGATGTTTTGTTTGGGCACCTAGTTGTCATTGCTGTGGTGTCTGAGTGTGGGGCTTGCTTAAAACAATGCCCCGAGGAGGAAATCCACTGAATGCCTGAGCTGAAGTCCAGCAACCCGTTAGCTCTGGACCGAGCTTTTTGTAATTGTTTATAATGATCTGGTGGGACTATATTTTTCTCTCTTGGATATGTAGCCAGGGTGCTGGCCAGCTGTTTATCTTTACTGATAAATTATTAGGACCAGATTCTCAGCTAGTGTAAATCAATGGATCCATTAGAATGAGGTGGGACCCCTAAGGCCTGGCCCCCGAGGCTCAGGGCTCCCTCCCAGCACAGGGGAGCCTGTGCTGGCATTCTAGCCCCCCGCCAGGCTGGAGCACACACAGTCTACTAGCCTGGGTCCCCGCGAGGCTCTGGTGTGTGAGGGGAATGTGAGGAGTGGCGTTCTCCTGCTCAGCCAAAAGGCTACATCAGTGAGAGTTTTTTTCTCACTTGTGTGCAGCCCCCAAGTGATTTCTGTGGGTCAGCGACCCTCAACTCTAAATAGATTCCTGACCCCTGCACTATAACTACGCTGTTTACATCAGCGCAGGATCTAACCTTTGTCAATTGCCTAGCTGATTTCGAAATAGCTTTTTTCCAAAATCGGGAGCATCTACACAGCACTTGTTTCAAAATAGAGCACTCTTCCTCCGACTTCCCTTACTCCTCGTACAATGAGGATTACAGGAGTCAGAGGAAGAAGTCCTCCAGCTTGACACTATTTTGACACTATTTTGAAATAACTGCCTGCTGTGTAGACGAGGACTAAGTTATTTCGGAATAGCACTAGTTATTTTGAAAATAGTGTTGCTGTGTAGACGTACCCTTGGAGAATTTGATGGGAGAACAAAGTAAACAATGTCCATTCTCTGCAATGATGACTGATATCTACAGGGAGACTATATTTGAAATGGGAATTTTTTTCCTGATACCAATTCCATGTCTACACTACCCAGAAGATTGACACTGCCGTGGTTGATGTTCCAGGGTTCGATTGAGCAGCTCTAGTGAAGACCCACTAATTCAAACTCAGAGGGTGCCACCGTCGGTGCCAGTTCTCCTGCACCTCACGAGGAGTAAGAGAAGCCAAAGGGAATGTTTGTTCCTGTCGACCTCCCGCTGTGTGGATGGAGATTTAAGATATGTCGACTCCAGCTGTGTAATTAATAAGCCTGCCTGAGCACCCTAATGCACTGCTGGGAGCCATCTGTGATAAGCACCTCCCAGCCAGAGCCTGTACCTCACACCCACTCCTGCACCCCAACCCACTGCCCCAGGTCAGAAGAACCCCCTCTTACATGCAATCTCCCTTCCAGACTCTACCCCCAATACAGTAGTTGTCTGTGACAACTTGCCAAAATTCATAGCATGGCCCCCTGGTGAAAATTATTGGCCTAGAGTGTCTATGGGCAGAGATGGTTCTGACTCACAGTGCCCTAGTACACTGTGTGCACATCTGGCTTTTGCTGAGACTCAGAGACTTACTGCCACAGCTGCTTCTCTGGTAGAGTAGATCGTATGGGATACCAGGACAGAAGAGGAGAATATTGCTGGTAGCAGAACATGTCTTAGGTTGAGTATATGGGACATTTAGCAGCTTGGGGAGAAAGATCATGTAAGAATCTTTGTCCCAAACTCAGACCAAACCTGCCCTTCCAAATTCTGTCTAGGTCCAGAAGTGGAAGGACCAAAAATGCCACTAAGGGCATGTCTCCCCTAGGAAATTATTTAGAAATAATATCTCCCGAAATAACAAAGTCGAAATAGTGTGTCCCCACTACGGGGGAACCTCGAAATTAGTCAGAGGCAGGCTCCATTATTGTGGATGCACTATCTCAACTTAGAGCCCCAGGAAGCACTGGGGAGTAATTATTTCAAATTACTCAGGGGAGTCGTCATTTCAAAATAGCAGCGTCGGAGTGTCCACACTCCCGCTATTTCGAAGTAACTATTTCAAAATTAGCATTATTCCCTGAGGAAAGCAGGAGTCCAGATTTCAGATAACCAGCCCACTATTTTGAAATAACGGGCTTGGTAGTGAGGACGCTCCACTTATCATTTTGAAATAAGGGGAGTTATTTCGAAATAACTCCTTCATGTAGTCCAGGGCTCAGAGACAACGCCAAGTTTATTTCTAGCCTAATCAGAGGCAACCAGTGCCAGACATTTGACAAGGAAGCCCCTTTCCACAAAACCTCCAGCCAGTTTGCAGGCCCACAGCTCATATAATTTAGGTCAGAATAGGTATGGTTTGACCCAATTCTGCCTAACACGGTGAAAAAAAATCAGCTGAATCTCCATTGGCCAAGGAAATTGTATTCGTCCTGTGAGATTTATTAATCTGGGGACTTTTCTGACCCATAGTAACTACTGGGCACAAGGTAGATGACACAGTGGTACAAGTGCCCATCTGACTCTTGTTTGCTCTACGCTATACACAGATTCAACCAACATTGTTGCAGCACCCACTGGGAATTATCTGAAAAATCCTTAACCCAAAATACAGACAGATCAGCCTATTAAAGAGATCCCCAGCTTATAGCACGGTTCTGTGAACCAACTTCTAACCACAGTCCCCGCAGTTCAGCTCTATCCATGCTGCCTAGGAAAACTGTAATAGCACGTTGCCAGCCAAAGCTGTGTTTAAACAAGTTGCTGGCTAAGGCCGTTTTAGTTCTGTGACTCTTGTGGTAAAGATGGGCCCAATACCCACTCTATCATAGTCACATGCCTTACCTCACTGCTCAGAGAAAGTAGGTTTAAAAAAAAAACAGCTAAAAAAAGCCCTCTTTTGGCTGCACTTCTGACATAAAAAACAAACTGGTCACCATAATTACATATAGCAATTACTTATCTCCCTGCCTCACTTTTCACAGCTGGAAACGGATGCATTTAAAATGGGGGAGCAGTTCAGGGAAGACTCACCATTTCTCTGCAGCGTGCATAGTCATTGATAGCAGTGAAAAGTACCAAACCACTATAAAATGATGCTAAATCAGAAAGGGTATGTCTACACTACCGCGCTAGTTCGAACTAGCGAGGTAATGTATGCATACCGAACGTGCAAATGAAGCCCGGGATTTGAATTTCCCGGGCTTTATTTCCACGTTCGGTATGCATACATTACCTCGCTAGTTCGAACTAGCGAGGTAATGTATGCATACCGAACGTGCAAATGAAGCCCGGGATTTGAATTTCCCGGGCTTTATTTCCACGTTCGGTATGCATACATTACCTCGCTAGTTCGAACTAGCGAGGTAATGTATGCATACCGAACGTGCAAATGAAGCCCGGGATTTGAATTTCCCGGGCTTTATTTCCACGTTCGGTATGCATACATTACCTCGCTAGTTCGAACTAGCGCGGTAGTGTAGACATACCCAAAAAAAGGCTACGTCTACACTACAGAGTTTTTTTGGAAAAAACTCGTGCAGCATCCACACCTCAAGTGTGTTTTTGCGCAAAAAAATCAAAAGAACAGAGGGGTTTTTTTCCAGCGTAGGTATTCCTCATTCTACAAGGAAAAACGCCTTTTTGTGAAAGAACTCTTTCACAAAAAGGTGTGTGTAGATGGGGAAGAAGGTTTTTTTGCACAAAAAGAGGAAAAAGCACAGGTGCCCTGGTGGCTATTCTTTGCATAGCAATCAGAGCTTACTTTCGAGACAGCGTCCATGCAGTCTGGACGCTCTCTTTCGCAAAAGCACATCACTTTTTCGATGTGCTTTTGCAGTGTGGACATGCAGATTGAAGTGTGGATGCACTGTTGCGCAACAAGTTTTTGTGGAAGACCTCTTCCACAAAAAGCTTCTTGTGCAAGAAGCCTGCAGTATAGACGTAGCCATACTGTTTGACACTGTGCACTGATGTTAGTGACTATAGAAGGAGGTGCAAGGTAATGAAGATTTGAGCCAAATGTACTTAAGTGGGTGAACATGAAAATTTGGGGTACGATTTACACATTGTATACAAATATTATCCTGTGATATGCAGAAATCTATTGGCAAAACCCTGCTTTCTTATACCATTGCAGTCCCATTGATGTGAATTACCTATTGGCCAGATTCTGATTTGATTTATATTCATTAGCACATTACTCAGTGAATGGTTCTGCCAGTTTCAATGTGTCTCATCATGGACTACAAGCACTACTGAGTGTAAATGGATCAGATCCATTTCTATACATTTTAGCTGGATAAAAACCCAAGACCCTTTAGAATGCAGAGTATCTCATACTTCTAGTACATAACATTCAAAAGACATATTGTTTGCTCAGTGGGAGTGCATTTTGGAGGCACAGAGTCTAGTGGCTGAACCTATCTTAATAATTTTTGCCATTTCATAAATTTCCTCAAGAACTGTCACAATACTTGAATATATGGAAATGAAACAAACATACTTGTAGTGAAGTCAGCCTTAGCAAATGCCCTTTGAAAGTGAAGTAATGCAAAAGTCCTCTGTTGCTACAGTGCACTGAACTATACAAAGCAATCTTCTTACAAAGAATTTGTTCTTTAAATGAAATGACTTTGGAATCAGAGGTTCCTCTGTTTAATTTCAGTTACACTAAATTATTGCTTTCAGCATCTGCTTGCACATAGAAGACAGTAAAACTGGAGACATTTCCAAGAGCTGTTGAGGTAATGCTTTTACTGAATGCTTATAATAGTTCCCACTCCCTTACATTCCTGGCGAAATGGCAACATACACAAAGACTGTTTTTGAATACTCAGTAAGACTTTACCCGCTTGAAAACTTTGACACGTTTCTCTCCTGACAACACATTAGACGCTCACCAGTGGCTTTAAGAATTCAAACCGGAGAGCTTAATAAACAACACAGAGCAGTCCTGCTGCAAAGGAGTAAGAAAAACACAATCTGTGTTAATTACAGCAAATTATTGGAAATGATAGGATTCTTCTTACCTTCTTCAGCAAATGCCCTGATGGCCACACTCCCTAAGAGGAAGATGAAGAGTTGAGTCTGAATAAACATCGTTGATAGTTCTGTTAGAGGATAGGTTTCTTGTCCTAGGTTCAAACTATTCCAAATTCTGATTCTTTTACAGACAGAGTGGAGGGAAATTTGAAATCGCAGGCAGAAATCACTGGAAAAACGTTGGGGGTCCAAATATTCCTTTGACTGTAGCAGCTAGAAGGGTAGCTTTTCCCAGGGTGATAACTATATTGCTAAAGAAAACTAACAGAGTGGAGTCAGCATTTTTTTTAACTCAGGGATGGGAGGCTATCTAAGGTGGTCTTGAAAAAAAGAGTCAGGCCCGCCCTCTGCACTCTGTTTGGCCAGCACTAAAATGATGAACTCAGCTCAGGTTTAAAGTTACAGGATCTGCATAAGATTTTTAGAAGATGCCTGAGACGGTTATATTTAGTGAAGGGGGAGGGGAATTCAGGCAGGGAGTTTCCTCCTTTCTATAAAGTCCCCTTTCAAAAATATTTAAGGAGCAAGAGGAAAGCATATTTTTTCCTGTTTTTTTCCAGCACTAAACCAATGTTTTCTTCACTTCACAGTAAGGTGTGTGTGTGTGTGTGCGCGTGCATGCACGCACGTGTGCATACACTCAAGGATAATGAAATTATTGTGGAACAGAGGGTTTAATGCCGCTAAGAAACACAGCGTCTGATTTTTTGTGTGTGTGTGTGTGTCCTGAAGTGACATCTTCACGTCAACAAGCACTAGCAAGCACTGATAGCACTCTGCTTTCTGAGACCTTGGGTAAGCAATTTAATTTTAGCCTCAGTTTACTCATCTGTACTTTCTACAGAAGGGTGTTATGAAGCTTAAGTCAGACAGAGCAACCAACTGACATCTCTGCTTCCCCAGGATAGTGGAGTCCCTTGGTCCTCCCTTCTCAAGGTCCATCTGAGCCCCTCTCACCCTGTCTAGGAACAACATGCTCTGCACTCCAGCTGGTGCCTCCACCTAGTGGCTGGGTGTACAAAGGCCTGTCAGCTGATGACCACTTGGATATCCCTTAAGTGGGACAGTAAAACAAACCCCACAGAGCACTCAATGGGTCTTCTTTCCCCAGACAGAACAAGGGGTAAATGGAAAGGAGCTGGAACCAGGCAAGGGTTGCCCCAACCAGTCTTGTGAACGTTCAGTAGGAAAGCGTTAGGCCGGACGAGGGCAGTGGGATTGGAGCGTGGGGTATAGAGATGGTATTTGTGTCTGGGCAGCTGACAGCTCTCATGCCAGCAGGATGGCCACCAAAGCAGGACGAAGCCTTGGCTCACAGTGCCTGGTTGGCTGGTTTGCAGCCTCTACAACTGCGCTGTTGCCAGCTCTTGCAATTTTTCCAAGTGCCATGGGATTCTGGAGCCCGTTCGGCATTGATCTGAGATGTTTCAACCCTCAAGTGAATTTCGGGGGAAGCCCCTCTCATTGCTGCCTGCTTCTCTCGCCGGCCGCCTGGAAAAGAGCTGCTAATTGGGCCCGCCGCAGGACACAGACAGAGCTCTCTTTCCACCTCCCTAACAGCCCAATGCCATACTCACAAGAGGGGAGCAAAAAGACCCCAGCCCCTATCAGTTTCTGGGCTTCTCCCTGCCCTCCTCTGAGGAACAAGATGGCTCCTTTGCCCTCCCCCACCTTTGCCGGAACACCCAGCCTGGGAAGGGATTGAGGAGGGTGACTTCCCAGCAGCAGCTCCCGTACAGCCCGGAAGGGGGAAAAGAGAATCCTGCTGCAGCCCTCCCAGACACCTCCTCCCCCCACTCTGGCTGGGTGAAGAACTCCTGGAGAAGCAGAGGTGAGACTCCCCACACAACTCCTCCCCCCACCCTGGCTTGGTGAAGAACTCCTGGAGAAGCAGAGGTGAGACTGGAGGAGGGGGGCAAAATTGATCTGGGGCCCCGGGGTGAGGGTGAACTGATGTGGGGCCAAAACTGGGAGTGGAGGGAGCAGGATTAATTGCTGGGTAGGGATGGGCAGACATGGGATGAGAGAGCCAATGGCAGGACCAAAATCCCCTTCCACAGTAAATCCAGGAGTGTGGGCAACACGAATGGTCCCACACCTCTACCCTGGGGATGTGAAGCTGCACCGCTGAAGTCCTCAGACGACGCGGGCACACACATGAATTAAAGAAGGCTCACAACCCCCGTAAGTAGTAGGTGCAGATGAGTAAACTGAAGCTAAATTTGAGCGTGTATATAAAGCCCTGCAAATGAAAGGTGCTATAAACAGAATTCTTTCGGGTGCTTTTTCAAACAAATACGCTACACTTGTGGGTTGCCAGAGAGCTGGCTGGCTGGAGGCCGCATGCTTCACAACAGCTTAAGTCAGTCTTGGATATGGCATCGGGAAGATGTTCCCCTTCCTAGGGGAACACAAATCTCAGCTGGGAAATGGATTTACAGTGAGGTTGTTTGTTGAACCTACTGATATTTTAACACGCTCAGCTCTTATATATTTATCCATTTCTTTATGTATTTATTTGTAGCTGCTTTTATTTAAAAGATTATGATTATATTCTATTTGCAATTTCCCCAGGTGCTATTTTTACCGATTAAAAGCTCATGTGTGTCCCATCTGCACAATGTACTGTTAAATCCAAGGACGGCCCGTGAGCCTAGGCGAGCAAGGCAGCTGCCTAGGGCACCGCTGGCCCGGGCACCCAATGATGATGTCATGGCCATTGACAGCCGTTCAGGCAGGGGCACCGATTGCGCCGCCCCGCCTAGAGCGTCAGCTGCTGCAGCCTGCCTCGGGCCGCTCTTGGTTAAATCATTTATTTACCCATAGAAAACGATATACGATGACTTCTGGTACCATACTTCAGAATTACTGCTGTCTTGATTTCAGTGCCATTCATTGATTCAATGCACTAACTGGGCTTTGGAGAACACGATGGCCATCTTTAATAAGGACATAAGAACATACGAATGGCCATACTGGGTCAGATCAAAGGTCCATCCAGCCCGGTACCCTGTCTGCCGACAGTGGCCAATGCCAAGTGTCCCAGAGGGAGTGAACCGAACAGGTAATGATCAAGCGATCTCTCTTCTGTCATTCATCTCCACCCTCTGACAAACAGAGGCTAGGGACACCATTCCTTACCCATACTGGCTAATAGTCATTTATGGACTTAACCTCCATGAATTTATCTAGTTCTCTTTTAAACCCTGTTCTAGTCCTAGCCTTCACAATCTCCTCAGGCAAGGAGTTCCACAGATTGACTATGCGCTGTGTGAAGAAGAACTTCCTTTTATTTGTTTTATACAAATGCTGCCCATTAGTTTCATTTGGTGGCCCCTAGTTCTTATATTATGGGAACAAGTAAATAACTTTTCCTTATTCCCCTTTTCCCCACCACTCATGATTTTATAGACCTCTCTCATATCCCCCCTTAGTTTCCTCTTTTCCAAGCTGAAAAATCCCAGTCTCTTTAATCTCGCCTCATATGGGATCCATTCCAAACCCCTCATCATTTTAGTTGCCCTTCTCTGTACCTTTTCTAATGCCAGTGTATCTTTTTTGAGATGAGGAGACCACATCTGTAATGAAAGGCAACAAATGGAAAGGTTCCCCTTGTTTTGCCCACAGACCAATGTGCTGTAACATCCTATCTAGGGATTGTTTCCAAAGGGCAGGACTTCTAGAAGTGAGAAGCTGGATTCATTATTGGCATAAGTGACTTCAATAGGATGATCCTCTTATTCCAGTGATGAATTTGGCCTGATGTCTCAGTACTTGTCATTCCGTTCTTTCCACAATGACACATCTTCTTCCAGCAATTCTGTATTCCGTGCCAAAGGTTTAGCTATACCAGTAAATTAGGTGCCGATAGCCACCTACTCCTTGTTGAATCTCAGATCACTAGAAGATTAGAATTAAACACTAAGGCTCAATGTTAATTTAAGAGTTAGCAGCTTTTCTTGACTGTAGCCTGATTGGATTATTGTTTTCATAGAACTAACTCAACACATATATCCATGTATGATGTTTCAGCATGTCTGAGTGTCCTATAAAACCTAGGATGAATTATTCAGAGGTTCAGCTGGTCAGAAATTTCTCAGTAGAATTGCCCCATGAGGGCAGAGGCCTGGACTTGGTGGTCTCTGGAGGTCCCTGCTAGTTCTAGTGTTCTATGAAACTTTCACAGGAATGTGTCAATTTTGGTGAAATTTCAGTTTAACAAAAAAACTCCAAACAATGTATTTAGACCATCTCAGAACAGAGTGACTAGATTTTTGTTTCAAAATGACTTATAGTCTATATTAGTGTATCAAATGTAATATCAGATTGCAATTTAAAAAGCCAGAATTGGAATAAGATATTTTGATTGACTGGAGACAAAAAATATTTGAAAATGTTGTGACCTAGAAGAATTTGAAATATTTTGCTTTTGCTTTTGTTCTGATTTGTAATAAAGAAAAAAAAAGAAATGTCAGTATTTTCTGTGGGACAGAAATTCTGGACTGTTAACAGCTCAATTCAGGTTCTAGTTCTATTTTGGGCCTTCAAAAATTGTGATCAGGCAAACTGAGAGGGTGTTTCCAGGACATTCATCTTGTTTTCACCCTTGACCAATGAACCTATTTATAGAGAGAACTTTTCATGGTTAGAGTCTAATTTGTTCTCAGATGCATGGCTGTGTGTCTCTTGTTGGCTCTAGAAGGAGGGCTTGTGGTTTGCTGGCTTAAATAACTTAGTTCTTTAAAGTTTATTTAATTGCATTTGATAGATCAGAAAGTGTCTCAGATTGGGCTTTCAAGAAATAAAAGTTTCCAAAGATCATGACGACTTTTGAACATTTTTTCCTAAGCTTATTATGATATGCACCAATTTCTTCTGCCCAATAACTCAGGCAGTTCCAGCCAATTCCAATTTAGAGGATTCTAACTACTTGTCTAGTAAGAATTTTATGAAGTCAGCCTCCAACCAGAGCAAAGAAGGGACTAGAACCCAGATCTTTTAATGCTAAGGCCTGTATGCTAAACTGTGAAGTATGCTGTCTCCCTTAGCAGTCATTTTAGACAGCACTGACTAGTGGGATCCAGTCAGTTGTTAGCTAGGATTTAAATTATTTCTCTAGTGTTTCATTTTTGGGGGGGTGCATGGCACCCCTGCATAATGGTTATGAAAATTGTTGGTTCATGTCCAAGGGAGAAAATAGAAGGAGAGGTTCCTAAGAAAAATGTAAATTAAGGAATGTAGGATTTGGGGCCATTTTAGGACCCTGGGGATGCAAAAACAAATAAATAGAACTCCAAAACCTCAACCCAAATCACAGTTTTTAAAAATAGTCTCCAGAAAGGGAATCTCTTTATATATAGGCATTCACCT